CATTCTCTCAGATGTATTAAACTTAAATTATAAGAAAAAAAGTAGAAAATGGTATATCTTCATCACGAAAATGATTAACTGATTGACAAAAATGTAATGAGAAGTGATACTTTTTAAAAAACAGACGACATTTGTATTATTTGTAGCAGTTAAATACAACATCCTTGCTAATAATCCACTTTTATAATGAATCAGAAACTTACTGGAAGAAAACTATATTCATGGATTCCGAAACTTTGGTTTTTTCTTTGAGGTGGTAACCCTTAACAACAATGATTAGTATTAATTACTAAACGGTCATCTTACACATAGGGATTTAGATTGCATATCTCTCTGTTAACAATGCAAAATGTGATATATCATTTTCTCAGATTAATTAAAAATTAAATTATAAGAAAAAAAGTAGAAAATGATATATCTTCATCACGAAAATGATTAACTGATTGGAACAAATGTAATGAGAAGTGATACTTTTTAAAAAACAGACGTCATTTGTATTGTTTGTAGCGGTTAAATGCAAGAACGGTAACAATATTTTATTGTACAAAACGAACATATTCTTCATTAAACGTAAGTGTTGTAATATTTCAGATACGCACAATTGAGTTCTGCACTATTCTCTAAAAAAAAGGTTTATTACGAAACTTAAACGGGTATAGAGAAGTGCCATCATTTCTAAACCCCTCTAGGTTTCGTAGAAGATAGGGTGCAGTACGAAACCGTTTTAAGTGCATTGAAACGATTGACCAGTGCATTTGCTTGTTTGGTTATGCTTTTTCCTCATGATTTTTTCTCGAAAAACCAAAAATTACAGAATTTTTAGGTATTTTTTTTACTCAGTTTTCGGCGCCCTATACAATGAAAACACGCATAAGCTGCTGAAACGATCCACTTGCTCAGAAAAAGAATTTTTAGAAAAAAAAATGCTAGAATTTATGCATTTAAACGGTTTCGTACTGTACCCTGTCTTCTACAAAACCTAAAAAGGTTTAGAAATGGTTATAGTTTTCTGTACCCTATTAAGTTTCGTAATAAACCATTTTTGTTTAGAGAGTACGATGCTCGTCTTGTGCTCTGACCCTCATAAACGATTAATTGCAGGTGTTTTAAAAATAAAATGGACGAATAGAAACCCAATCGTTTTTCTATTATGGTAGTATGTGCGGTGACTACGAGTTGCAAATAGTATCGACTTCATTAATGGGGAAAGCAGGAAGGTATTTGAGCAGTTGTTTAAACTGTAATCCTCAGAAGAAAACGGGAATGTCCGACAAATATATCCTATAATCAATTAGAAACTTACTGGAAGAAAAATATTTCGAATTCATGAATTCCGAAACTTTGCTTTTTTTATGAGAATTTTGCTTTATACTATGGACGAAAAATTTACTGAATAAGAGATTGTTATTTTCCGGGAAGTTTGTTGTTCCTTTGAGTGAAGTTTTATCTTTACAGAATAATTTTGCTCAGTGAAAAAGATTATGAACGGTGTTAGCATATTCGATAAACAGTTTTTGAGTAAGGTTCTCATGCAAGAGAGAAATGAAATTTCTGTTAGAAATTTATTTTTTCGATTAGGTATGTCTACATCATTTTGGTATGTATGAATTCCGTGCATCCTTCAAGCTAACAGTTCCATAAAATGCTGCGTGATACATCTGACGTACTTTCTTCGTTGATAGCACTACATCTTGTTTCTTCAAATATAACACACATGATCATTTAAAACTTTAACTCGAACGATATTTTCTCTTACGCGATTGTTTCTTTTGTTTTAAAGCCGTTTAACACCACTTGATCTTGCCTTTTAGAATGACAACTACTACAACAGTATCACCCGCAATTAGTAGTTTAAACAAAGATAAAAACAATCTTGGTCGTTATTTCGCTTTATTGTGTTTTATTTTCGGTGGTGTTGGTCTCATATTAAATGTTATTATTCTTACTCGCCGATCATTACGTTCAAATCCTTGTTCCATATACTTTTTAGCATCAACATTTGCCAATTTATTCATTGTTTTTGTAAGTATTCCTGTGCGTTTTCTAACAGCTGGTTTTAATATTGATCCAACAATAATGTCATTAGCGAATTGCCGCCTTCAGTATTATACCTTTTGGTTATCTCGAGCATTATCATCATGGTATATTACATTAGCTAGTATTGATCGTTATCTATGTAGTTCAATTAGTATCCGAATTCGACAATGGAGTAATAAGGAGATTGCTTATCGTATGATTGCTATTACGACTATCACCGTCTCTATGGCATATTTTCACGTACTCATTTATTTTACGATTGATGTAACCAAAGACCGATACGGTAATATTACATCATTATCATGTAATGGACAGAAAGGTGATTATCGCACTTTTGCTGCATTTTTCCATTTAACCTGTTACACTATAATACCTCCGCTTCTTATGTTCATATTCGGTCTACTAGCATTAAACAATATTCGACGGCACGGCATGTTGGTTTTTCCATCAGTTCAAGGAAGAACCATTGCGAAATGTATTAACAGAAAAAATCGTAAAACTGATCGTCAATTATTGTTAATGCTGATTTTACAGGTGGTTTGTATATTTTTATCAACAACGCCATTATCTGTACAACAATTATATAGTACATTTACAGCTAATTTTGCAAAGGATGCATTTAAAATGGCGCAAGATAGTTTTTTTTTAGCAGTCGTTGGGAATATATCATTTATCGCTCATTGCTCATCATTTTACTTATTCACATTGGCTGGCTCAATATTCAGAAGAGAACTCAAAAAACTACTGCTTATACGTCGATGTCTCAAGAAGAGACATCAGAAACAAGAGCTAGTAACGGTAGAAACGACAATAACAAGACCAACAAAATTCTGACTATAAAGAACGCTTTGTAGGATCGTGCTATTTTAAATAACAAGAAAAAGTAGCATCTTGTAAGCATGAAAAGAGTGATTGACATCACGCATTTTTCGTTTGAACATAATAGACTCATATTGGATATTTAGTATGAACAAAAATATTACAGATGTTAAAATCATCTCGAAGTGTGCCTAATCTCATATTGATAGTTCGTTATTTCTTTAGATATCCATTATCTAATGATGGCTGTATGTGATGATTATCAGCAATCATTATCATTGTCTAATTCAATATATCTATTCTTCGTCACAAACGTATTGCTCTGGATCGAACATGCTTTCAAGCCCAAGTTCAAGTTACTTAGGCAGTCAAAGTCAGACGTTATTATCCTGGCCGTCAGATACTGAGCTGATTCTAATGACTCTGGACGAGTAATAAAACCAGAGTCATGTATCATACAATAATAATCTATTATTAGCAAGACAGATGTATGGTAGAAAAGCAAAGATAGAGAAGGTGGAGAGTATATAAATACCCGGTTAATATCACCGAGCATACGACGATAGAATACTGCTACATTTTTAGAAACTCGCCATATATTCTGTGATTCTGAGAGGAGTCAGTCTCAGCTAAAGTTTTAGCTAACAATGGTATGGTAGCGCTATATTATAACGACAGAATCCATCAGATACAATTGTGCAATAAATTAACAGTTCAAATGAAAATTCCACTTTACATCATGAGAAATATGGACAGCTATTAATTTGGATATGGTTCACATACAGACGAATAAAAATATTCTCTTGTTATCAAGCCATCTATATGAGTATATTCACTGGCACAGGAATATCCTGGGTGTCATGTGATCATGTAAAATCGCGTAAATGGTTTATATAAGATGGCTACTTTTCATCTAAAGATTTTTTATATATCAGTTAGATTTGGAAGTAAACATACAGTTCTAATGTTGTTATTTTTAATTTTGTGAAAATTTTTAGGGCTTTTCTTCGTCAGAAGGAACAAGGAAGTTTAACTTTAAAGAGGTTTTGGAGCCAAAATGGCTGTTTTTACACTTTCGCTCATACCTCCTCCTTACTGGTGGGCGGACAGACAGGACACGAATGGCGTAGTATCTGGTGATTTGGAACTGATTGTTTTGTCTTCTTCTCTCGTTCGTCTCGGCAGGAAATGTTGCATTTGGAAGAAAAATAAATTGTTGCACGATTCAAACTATTTTTTGAACATTTTTCTTCGTCTAATACTCAAATCTTATGGAAATGTCTAATGAGTGTACCGAAAAATGTTAAAATAAATATTAAACATTTTTCTATCGAAACTAATAAATACTTTGCTTGTTGTAAGATAGAAAAATATTTAATTATTTTAAAATAAAGAAAACATATTTAAATGAAGAAAAATATTGAAGGGGCTAATATTTAAGTAAGGTGGAAAAACATTTAATTGATTTTTAATATTAGTCGTTTAATATTTTTCTTTTTAGCATTAGTCTATAGACCTAGTATCGGCTGATGACTATGAATCTGTTATGGAACAGGTACCACTAAATTCATTTATAAATTTGGAGTTATCTTTCAAATTAAAATCCCCGGCTGCATTTTAGTTCTCAGTACGACAAACTTTTGAATATGGTAAGGATAAACTGTTCAGGTTTTAGTAAAGAAACTTCTGGTTTGTTGGTACTCGATATAGATTTAATATATGAAATGGTACGGTGAAACTTAAGAGGATGACGCCGATTGGCTTAAGATATGCTGAACTGGCTCACTCTCTGTTAAAAAGTCTTCTCTAACGATTGGAGTTGCTCGCACTTAAGTGTCATTGGAATACTACAAGTAAGATTACACCCCGAGGAAACGGGATATGTTGAACCTGAAGCAACAAAGCTTTCTTTTATATACAAAGCATTTTAAACCAAGTGACGAATTTCGACGAATATTTTATGCAGTATTCATAGTGCATCGGAAGACTTTGTAAATAATTTTTAGAGCAATGAATAGTCAGTGTTTTTCTCAGTAATTGTAGTTGCTCCAAGTAAATAGTTATGCATTTCGTGACAAAGAACACATCTGGCAGATTTGGTCACTACTTTTGTTTTCCAACGTGCATCTTGAACAAAACCACACTGAATTCTGTAATGAAAGTAAAAAAGAGGTAACAGTTTCTGTTGGGTATTCAAATGTATAGATGGTTCCAGTAAGCCGACTTCATGATCGAAAGAAGAAAACTATCATTTTAGCTCAGAAACTGTCGAAATGAGGACAAAGCCTTTGTCCTCACTTCGTCAACAAGAAAGCATGGTAATTTCGTTGTGACTTTGAATGAACGACAATTCGACAAACCGAAAAATTATGTGTAACATTAAAATCATCATAGTTTTTCATTTACATTGTCGAGGAAAAATATTTATCAGATGCCAGATGCTTGATTAAAATAAAGCGAAGTAACGTAACTGGCTCAACGCAGTTCTTTCTCTCGCCTTCTGTAAGGGAAAGAAACTAAACGAGCGCCTGAACGTCTTAAGCTAAACAGCATTTGTTCAACTAACATAGTACTTACATTCGCTTCTTGTAGTATTGGTAAATGCCTTGAATTTCTCTCTAAACATCCAAAACAACGATAGTTGTAACAAGGAAAAGCTCATCGCGAAAAATGAACAAAAATAGTACTACTTAACATTCGTCGCTCATTCTACACAGTAATAACGTTACATTGGCTGACAATTCGGCGTCAGTCAAGTTTCCGACGCTTTTGGTGAGACTCGACTTTGGATCGGAAAAATACAAAGTACAGTTTCCTTCATATGCTCGTTGTATTTTTGCAGGGTATTAAATCTGGAAGAAAATAGAGTACCAATAGTTTTTGACACCTTTTTCTTTACCGCTTGGAGGACAATCCGACTCTGCCGCTATTTTGACGCTATCGTTCGATTAGGGCTGCAATTACTAAACTTACCTGTTTGCGGTCGACTAGTGTGAGAGTTCACAGGTACCTCTGTTTTTCTTTCGAAACAGTCTTCTTGACTTTCCATCGACGTCGGTAAAGATCCTTTTGAAAAAAACATAAATAACTTTTAATATTAAAGTAAAGCAGATGATGGCCGCTTTTATATAAAGAAATAATTATTTACTTTTGTTCAAAACTGGCTGGTCATGCATTGCTGGTATTATTGATACAGGCGTCAAGGACTCAACTGGCATCAATTTGGCAAATTTTTGTGTCAACTCATTAATCAGGTTTTGTTGTTCTTCAAGCGCTTGAATAAACATTTCTCGTTGTTCATTCATTCGTTCTTCTAATACAAATACTCGATTTTTCAGGCATGTTGTTTCCGTATGGTTTTCCATATCTTTTCGTGTGGACATCATTTGACATTCGGCACAAGTCTCGCTAATTAAGTCACATTGTTGTTCATGTAGAGCCAAATCTTTTCTCAATACTGGATTATTACAACCTTGACATTGTTGCATTTCATATGGACAACTGGCCTCATGCTTTTCGAGCGCATCATAACCGACAACTGCTGAACATCCATTTTTTTTATACCGGCAGTTGATGTTAAGTTTGGATAACAACGTTTTCATTAATGGCGGACACTTGCGTTCTTCATACTGGCAGTTAAAAGGACAGATATTTCTTGCGAACAACCAAAGATGAATACAATTACTGCAAAATGAGTTTTCACACGTTTTACATGATACAGGATTTCTGAGAATATTATGACAGATTGGACAGAGAAAAACATCTTCGATAACCTTGCTACCTCCCTGAACGCGATCAGTAGATATCTCATTGTTATCTGCATCGAAAGCAAAGATGTTTGCCATTTTAATTCTAGATAGAAAAATTGCAGCAATGGAGAAGGAAGTTCGATAAGTCAACAGAAAATAGAGAAGGAAGTTAATGTCCTGCGTAACATTTTTTCTCAAATAGCTTAAACATAACTGAATTTTTTACTCAAAATTCACAGCAAGAAAAAGGAAACAGTGGTTCTAAAATTAAAGTGGTCTTTTATGCAGCCCGAACGGGAAAAGAGAATCATGAAGATAACAGACGGATGCATAACTCAAATCTCTTTAAACTGGAAAAGCACACAAGTAAAGTACATTTTTTCAATCAGCTCCCTCTTATAAACGTATTCTTCATCAGTTATTCATCCTTTAGTACAATCACTATTTAAACAAAAAAAAAGTTTTTTTCTTTTACCTCAGGTAAAGGGAGTATGTGTCATTCATACCTTTGTCATGATGAAAAGAATATTTTCAAAAACCTTGCAACAACTCAACAGTGACTTACAACTTCAATCCTTCGTTCTTACATTCAAGAAGACGGTTTTCAATACGTACGTATAATACGGTTTATAACGTCATATTTGAATGCGGACGTTTTGTGAAATAAAGAAAAGTATTAACTTCGCATAATACAATTCAAAGCTTTCTTGCTCATACTTTGTTGATCAATAAGCTCGATGATTGTCAAAAAAAGGTTATATTAATTAGGGCCTATACTCTCTGTCCCATAGATACCACAGATTCAAGTTATTTACAGAGAGTGTGACTATATCATCTGTTTTCATGAATCTCGACAAGGAAAGCGTTTTAAGAGATGACATCTTTTTGCTACCATTTCGTCTATATACTGATTTTATCAGCAAGTTTGGCCTACATGCAGGATGATTTAGTGAATTTCTTTCCTCTGATTATTTTTGAAGTCCATGCGTAACAGTTATCTTATATCCAGCAAAAATGTCTGCTGAAGAGGAGAATAAATGATTACTTTTCGGGTACAGTACCTGAAAGTTTGTGATATTTATTCTTTATTTTCGTCAACTATGAATAATCTAAAAAAGAGTTAGAAAGAGCTATGAATAAGAAAAAGTTTTAGGGTCTTAAATAGATGACGGTGAGGGTGATTATTCATAGTTGACGAAGATAAAGAATAAATATCACAAACTTTCAGGTACTGTACCCGAAAAGTAATCATTTATTCTCCCTTTCAGTAGACAATATAAATAAAAAATTTTGTATTAAATTTAAGTTTTAGCAGCCGCTGTTAGCCTGAAAAGTTATAATAAATTCTCCTTCCACTCAGCCTTCAACATTTCTTCGGTATTTTTCAAAGTTTTTGTCCTGACAACAACGAACGAAACAGTCCGTCTGGTCTCATATCCTGTTCGAGATATGGTATACTCAAGGCACATCAAGACACTGTTTTTTTATTTTCGAGTGTGTGAGTGTAACTTCATCTTTGAAGAAAACTGGTTTTATCCCTGGAGGACTACAGAGCATTATCACTTGTAAAAATCCTACATTTTCAGAAATAATCATAACTGTTACATGATTCGCTGTCCTCAGACATCATGTAAAACTGCAGCCGTTATTGCATAATCATTTCTTATTGTGTAATTATTTATTGCATAATAGTTACGCCATCTCTACACTATATAAGCTCTCAATTCCGTGGGAGTTAACAATTCATTTTTCGAAATAAACTACTACGAAACACACTTGGACTTAGTTATCAATATAAACCGGGCTACCAATAACCAAGAAGTTAAGCAACAATATTTTCACTATACATAGTGCGAAGTAGATTCTTATTGTTATTTATCACCCATAGCATTGAACAAGGATGAAACAGACGGAACGCGTAGACCTCAAGGAACTGGATTTCGTTCAGTCTGATTTCGTGTCTTATATCCCGAACGGGATATTTTTCTTGATTGGCCTATAGAATATATCCTGAACGGGATACATATCTCAATCGGGATAAATATCCCTTTCGAGATATTGGTTTATCCCGATCCAACTATGTCACCAAACATGTTTAAATGCTTATTTAAAATATATGTTGTCAGTCATATATTATATCAGTATTCTCGGCTACGATCTGAAGATCTCCAATATGCATGAAAATTCTGGTAGACGACTTGTCTGGCTTACGGTAACTTTTTCTACTCTTTTTCAAAAAATTGTGCGTGTGTTTATTTGCCAAATTTAAATATATAGCCGGTATCAAAGCTGACAGGGAAAGTTCAAAAATTTCTTGCAATAAAACTACAAACTAATCTAAGATTGCAAATAGATATTAAATACATTAAACATCTCTTTATAAAATACGAAGTGCCTCGGCTCTGGAAGTTGATTCATTATGAAAATACAGCTGTTCCACAAATGGCCTAAAAGATCAATTTTGGAGCTATCTGAAAAACGTGTTTAAAAGCGTGAAGACGAGCAGGCGAAAACTCAACAAGTATATCAGGTTGTAGAAAATTCTTTGCTCTACAGAATGTAATAGTTTTTAGATATCAAAACTAGCTCATTTCATCTGAATTAATTAAATAAAACCAGGAAAACCGTAAATGTCATCGCGTTCCCGACCATATAAACGCTGCAGTATTTGAACGATAAGTCATACTTCAATCTTTTTACATCTCTTATACAAGCCATCCGAAGCCATCCGAATCTGTAAAATAATGCAATATTCGCTTTTATGCCTGCTCACAAGTGTGAGAAAATAAGCGCTGGCGCTGAATATGCGTCACCGTGTTACCTGCAGACAAGCCGTACAGTAACTAGGTACGTGTGCGGCAATTTTATATCTGTTTGCTTCAGAACAGAGAGCGACAAAAGTGTTTATGAGGCCTAGATCAACACTTTGAAAAAATGTTTCTGTTCTAGGTTTTCATTATTCGATACTTGGAGATCCTCACACGCTATCATTCAAAGAAGAGGGCATTAGCATCCGAAAAATCCGACCGATGAAAAACCTTTGGATCAGCTTGTTAGTAGATTTTAAAAATTCTTGCTACGCGTGTTTTATGTAGAATTGTTTCCTCTATCAAATGTACAAACAAAATTTCTGGGATGAGTATACAGCAGTTCAAAAAATACAAATTACACCAAGAAAACACATTTTTCCAGTATTTCCGATCTTCGAAGCGAACTATGCATTTTTCGACCGACTGAAACACCCTCTTCTGTTAAGAATTGTCTGTTCTGTCAAGTGAGATATTACTCGAAAAGATCGGTCAAGTAGTTTCAGCATTATAGCCAAAATACCGATTCGTACGTTTCTTCAGACACCAGTAAGACTCTCGTTCGCGAAAAAATTCATAACCGGGATACCATGGGGGTTCAGAGTGAAAAAATCCGGATCTGTAGGTTTTCAATGATGAAGAATCGAATGAGACACTTAATAACCCAAAATAAACTCTTACATGTTATGACTTTTCTCCCATGATAAACGTTCTCTTAAACTCAAGGTGATTAAGAGCCACTTTCTCGAAGGATCTGACAGGTGGTCATATTGAAATGAAACGATGCAGCTGAGATTCTTACCGCATGTAGTATACTTAAATATGACTTTGTGGTAAAAATGGCAGACTTTGAAATCTACTAATAAGCTGTTTTGGGAGGATCATGAGTTAGTCGCGTCATATTCCTAAAACGGGCACTTACTAAAAAAAAGTTCTTCTTTATTGTGTGCTCAATATTGTTGATAAAATACTATTGTATTCGTTATCTGCGAAGAAAATGGCATTGAATGAGAGACCAGTCAATGTTTAATTAATGCTACTAGTCATTGAGCACTTCAATTCTTACAGGTCTATACCTGACAGATCTTTAAAAGATGCGCTTTCAAAAAAACTTTTAAGATATCCGGGCTGGGATACACACTTTGTTTTAAGAACATCATGAACTGTAGACTTTTGAATCAAGACTAAAGCAAAATGGCTTCCGACTCAGTTAGAAGGTTTTTCATTGGTCGGATTTTTCAGATGTTAATCCCTTCTTCTTTGAATGATAGCCGTATTTCTTTTGATTCATCAAAGTCACGTACTAAAGGTGTTTCTCAGCTTTTGATACTATTATGTCCAGTGTTGAATTTGAAAAAATTTACTGCCGTTGTTGTTTCGGTTGAAACTGGTTTAAAATCTAGTTGTTGTCTTAATATTCTGGTTGAATTAGTTAATGTTAAAATGAACCCATTTTCTTCACTATTGTCGTCATCCGTTGTTATTGCTCCATCCAGTGAGCTAGAGTGTGCCTACTACACTGTTGGATAAGGCAGTGTTTGTATCATGAAGTGGAAGAAAACTAAGTGGTCATCCGATTTAATTCCAAACTCCGATTATTGTCGGACTAGAACTAGAATTCCCTTTTTCTGGCTAGACAGAAACAGAATTCGAGTTTTGGGTGGCTATATTCGAAATCAAGCCGAGTTCTAAGTCTGGTCTCAATATACACATCGCTGGAGACTTATAATAAGCTAATAGTAATCTGCGTTAGAAACGAGAATTCGTTAACAGAAGGAAACATTAAGATTGATAATATGAGTCTTGCGTGTCTTCATGAATGGCTCAATAGCTGATCTTGGCTGAATATTAATGGACTTTAAGGAAACTATTCTAGGAAGCTAATGACTTACATCCTGTAATATCACATAATTTCGACGCAAGTTATAGTTTCTCGCTTCCACTATTCTCATTAGTGATCACTCAATTACGAAATAAGACGAGTACCTTTGTCATGCTATTACTAAAAAATTAGACAAGCTCGTCAATATATGAATAGAATGAGAGAGCAATAACACTGCTTGCTTATTTATAGTACGCATGTACTCCAAATACATTTCCTATGTTTTATATCTTCTTCAATTATTGCATCGTGACCAAAATATCATTTAGAATGCGATATGTTTCAGTTTATTCTAATCATTCAATTCGCGCGATATGTGACTAACCTCGTATCAAGGTTAACCGTTCTTTGTATACATTCGATAAAGAATTTGTGAGACTATCTATCCATATTTACTTACAATGGAACGGTTTGTACTGTCAAGCCGCTTTCAAGTTCCGAGCATGTGTATTAGAGAGATCCCGGTGTGGTATAAAAAACCCCAAAAGGCTATGGGCTGATGGGCCTTCCCTCCAGAGTTACAGTCATTATACTGAAATTTTAGCCTATTGCATGGTATCACTAATCACGATATTTCGATCTGAAATTTTGCCCACAAATAGGCCTACTTGTAATTAGCATGTTCTGCAAATTTCAGTTCAAAAGAATGTTCCCTTCATAAGATGTTGAGTTTCCCAAAAACCTGACATTCTCCAATTTTTTCGTAGAACATGAGTGATTTTGGAAATTCAATATCTCAAGAAGGGACATTCTTTTGAACTGAAATTTGCAGAACATGCTAATTACAAGTAGGCCTATTTGTGGGCAAAATTTCAGATCGAAATATCGTGATTAGTGTTTTTGGTAGATACCATGCAATAAGCTAAAATTCCAGTATAATGACTGTAACTCTGGAGGGAAGGCCCATCAGCACATAGCCTTTTGGGGTTTTTTATACCACACTGGGGTCTATCTCATACACATGCTCCGAACTTGAAAGCGGCTTGGCAGTACAAACTGTTCCATTGTTAGTTGTCTAGTAGAGGAAATGTGCGAGAATCAACTTTTTGCGTATTTTACACGTAACCTTGAAGGGGTAACCGACTGGCGCCTTTCTAATCAGAAATAAGCGAAAGTACTTAAAATCGAATAAAAATCTTTTTCTACTACTTTTGAATCGTTCTTAAGCAAAAAGTTAAACGGACTGGTTATCAATCTAATGCGGACCTCTAATTACTTTTTTGAATTTCTGACGAGCATACCACTGATCACATCTTTTTCTGCTGAAAGCGTTTTTTCTATGCTGATGCAAAACTCCACAGCATGGGCGAGCTCAAAGACGAGAGTAAGTATTGAGAATGACTAGGTGAATGCAGCTTGTCTAATCAGTCAATTCATGCGATATGTGACTAATGTCGTCTAATCATACTCTTTATTCGTCACTTTCAACATGTGACGAAGGAATAAATAAATAATCTTTATCTATAAATAGTCTTTGCCTTTCACACTCACAGATATGCATGTGCTTCATCAATGTGATCATTGCTGTCATAAAATTCTTCCATTTACCGATGGTTTTATGACAAAAACTATCATTATTGCAGCTTAACTAAACTTGAATTTTTCTGAATATGTAGGTTTACTCATTAGGAGGAGTGAAGTTCTCCGTAATATCACCAATGGAGTACTCTTTTGAAATGAATATCGCTGAATTTCTTGATATTAACTACAACTCTGAATAATAAAAAATGTTATTTTTTATTTACATAAAACTTTAAAAGGTTATGTCAATTAAAATTGATGGTATAGTATACCTAGCCATTCCGCTGATTAATTAACTGTTCAGCTTGTTGTGTAGCCTATTGGAGAGAAACAAAAACAAAACATAAGAAATAAAGTTGATTACTTAAACTACAAACGATATTACTTACATGAAATTTTGCTTCCTCACGGTCTAAAAAGTCTAAACTTTTACTTTCAAATAATTTATCAACTTCAGCACCCGCTAATCCCGCTAATAGTTCTTTGGATAGTTGATGGGAGTCGTTGGGATGTTGTTCCTCCCATAATCGCATGGCCTCAAATGCTGCCGCACCCTAATGCACAAAAAAGTATATGAAAAGTAACTTTACTGTTGCCACACAATCTACGTACACCAATCAGTTCATGAGTCCATGTACTATGATGTTGACCACCTCCATAAACCGCCTTATGTGCTTCCTCGTGTCTACCCATTTTATCTGTTGCTGAATGTCTACGCTTTGTATATTCAAATCGACGACTTAATTTTCTGCTGAAACAAAAATGTGAATTTCACAATCATTCGACCGTTCAAGGATGATACCTTGTTTTCAGTTAAGGTATCGTAAAGGACATTTTGTTGTCGCTTGAATGAGCAGCTGATACCCATACGCTTTTTAACACAACTGACTAAGTATTGCTGATTAAAATAATGAATAAAAAATGTTATTTTTTATTATTCAGAGTTGTAGTTAATATCGAGAAATTCAGCGATATTCATTTCAAAAGAGTACTCCATTGGTGATATTACGGGGAACTCCACCCCTTCTAATGAGTAAATCTGCATATTCAGAAAAATTCAAGTTTAGTTAAATTGCAATAATGATAGTTTTTGTCATAAAACCACCGGTAAATGGAAGAATTTTATGACAGTAATGATCACATTGATGAAGCACATGCATATCTGTGAGTGTGAAAGGCAAAGACTATTTATAAAATCACCACAAATAAGACTGATACTCTTCGAGTTGAATCTGAACTTGAACATTATCTTCCGTTTCTTCGCCGTATGTCAGAAAAGCAAAGAAACGATCCGCATTAACCAGTTGGTAATCGGTCCATTTAATTTTTTGCTTAAGAACGATTCAAAAATAGCAGAAAAAGATTTTTAATCGATTTTAAGTAATTTCTCTAATTTCTGATTAGAAAGGCGCCAGTCGGTTACCCCTTTAAGAGATCACGTATAAAATACGCAAAAAAGTTGATTCTCGCACGTTTCCTCTACTAGACAACTAAGTAAACATATGGCATTTCTCATCAGTGATCACTCAATTACGAAATAAGACGAGTACCTTTGTCATGCTATTACTAAAAAATTAGACAAGCTCGTCAATATATGAATAGAATGAGAGAGCAATAACACTGTTTGCTTATTCATAGTACATATGACAACTTTGCTGAATACGCGACACAGCAGTTTATTCTTTTTTGTGTACTTTGTTTTCTTCCTAACAAAAACAAACATTTGCTGTAAATTGCGGTGTTTCGAATACCTTAACTACTAAATTCAACCGCTTGAAGTTAAGATGTAAGTCAGTTTCCTTGAGATTCTCACCAGTGCTGTCTGTTAAAAAAAATAAGGCACATGACCATCTTTTGAACAAGAACGAAATGTGGTAGAGAGTCTGGATTTCCACCATTCAAAAGAAAAGGCTCTAGAGAACATTTTTATAACAAATATTAATTCGAAATAGTCTTTTAAAGTAGATGTTTGAGGAGATCCTTGGGAAACCAACTTATAGCTAAGTATGAAACTTTCATTTTTCTTCACGAACAGATAATCCAAAGCGTCCACATTAAAATGAGAGTCAAGCGAGATCTTAATTTCCAGTGATTTGGACGTGGTATCCAATTACCTGGGTGCCTTAGAACTGGTATCCAGTGACTTCAGGTAGCCTTGAAATCGGATGGAACATACGTAATCGTCCAGGCTAAATCTGAAGGGAATGCTTGTTTTGGAAAAAGAATTCAAAAACGCAGTGAAAACGGAATTTTATCAAAATTGGGATTTCCAGGCAGTCTTCACTTAATATTAATAAATTCAATGTGCACTGAAAAATCATCACAACGAGTTCGAAACTTCAGGATATCATGAATGTTGCCCGATGAACGTGATTAAGATCGAAAGAATCGAAAAAGCATAATTTTTTTAAGAGATTTTTCCGAAATCATTTCGAAAAATCTATTAACAAAAATATGCTTTTTCGATTTTCGTATGGTTTTGGTTTCTATAAAAAAAAAAAAGAAAGAAGTAAATAATATATCAGAATCTCGCAAAAACATGAAAGCTAAAACACGAAGGCAAAACTTTTTGCGCACACTTCTCAGTTTGAAGTGGACAAAATGATATTATTAGGATCATACGGCATTAAGGTCATAAATATCAAACTTTAGATTTATTTAGCGTCCTGCTTTGACTGAGCTTCAATGTACATCGGAATCTGAGAATGTTTACCACATCAGCAAAAGTTTTCACATATCTTACCGCTCTCTCTATCAACGTAACACTTTCTCTCTTCTTTTTTCTTTATTTATTTGTGTTTCGTCAGTATGTAGTTTTTAAGATGTTTCTTGTACTGCAATAAATACCTGTTATTGTCTCTTGTCTTTTGTTTCATTTTTTTATTTATTTATTTTCCATATATGTTGCTCTTGTCTTGTCTATACTGCTTAACTTTAGAGTCTTACCGTTTAGTTCTTAACTCGATTTTTGGGTTTTTGAAGCCGCAAAATTTAAGTCTTTCATAATTTCCCTTTCTCTGTTTTTATTATTGTATTTCTAATTCGCAAATAAAAGTAATGTAAGTAAAAAAAGTATTAGTTTCTTCCTTGTCATGGATCTCTTCCCATGATACACTTCTCATGAAATTGTAATTATTATCAAGAAAAGTAGCAGATCCGAACCCAATCGAGCACTTTTTCGTTTTTGTTTCAAGTTTTCAACTATCACCAGTTTTTCAGAAAACTCGGTTTTTCATTGTGCCACATTACGACTCTTAAATTTCATCCGATCGAGTTCGGAATTTTACAGATACTCAAGGTCATTCCGCAGAGATCATTTTTGGGAAATTTTTTTAAGATCTTCCCTAGTCAAGTTATTGGAAAAATACTGAAAAACGTCTCGAAAACCAAGTTTTTCAATTTTAGAAACCCTATAAGTCGGTAAAGAAAAGTCTAAAATAAAATTCCACAAAAACACCTCTGCAATAGCGTCTTGAGTATCTCTGGTAAAATTTTGAAATCGATCGAATGAAATTTAAGGGGCGTCGTAATGTGGCACAATGAAACCTAGTAGCAAAAAAAGTTTTCGAGAAAAAACGCATTTTGTACGTCGGTCACGTTTTTCAGAGCATTTGCCGCGATGCTTATATCTCCACGAAAACTCATCGGAAAATTCTGTAATACATCTCGTTGTGAAGAAAATACTTTCTTCTATCAGACTATGTGTAAGGTCGCGGAGTACTGGGAGTGGTCTCATTCTATAGCCCACACTTTCCTCTACATTAGGCTATGAACAGCTCAAAATCTTAAATTTTTACAAAAAAGAAAGGGGAGAGGGAAGCACCCTTAAAATAATTAAGATTATATAATCTATCACCAAATAATTCGGATAACGATTATCGGATTGATAATCAGTTGAAAACTGATCAAAAGTTGCGTTAACTTACTTATCCATGCTTCTCTGCACTAAAGCGCTGCAAGCTGATCTGACCTCGAATGGATTCGATCACATTCGGACCAGAACTACTCACCTGCATTTTAAACTGACTGGAAGTCCCAGGCAAGTTGCAGTTTGCAGGTGAATGATAAAAGACCATACTGATAACAGAAAGAGAAAACAATAGAACAAGAATAGTGAATAGTAACTCATGATAGAGTCTATACCTATCAGTGTGTAATACAAACTGATAGTGGTCAGTAGGAAAACAATTGTTACACCCCGCCTTAGGGCAGTCTACCTGCAGGGCAGAACAGAAGTTTTTATCCGTACACCCTGCCTGTACAGGGCAAAAGATTTTTTCTAACCTGCAACGCGGGTAAATTTTATTTTGCCCCTGCATGATGACTGCGTAGCGGTCATAAATTATGCAGGCGATGAGCTGTGAATCCAACTCAGTCTTCTTAACCCACGTAGGTCTCTAAACAGAAACCATCGAACTATGTAAACAAGATGAAAAGCGCCTATTATTTTACTAGAGACAATACTTAAAGTTCGAGATTCCTCTTCAAAGACGAACGTGGAGAACAAAACCTACAAACTCATTCTGCATTGACAATGACAGAAGTATGACCCATCAAAAACAGAAAAGTTTCGAAACTTCTAAAAAGACCGACAAGGTAACTTGTTTGATTTGCTGCGACAAGTCTTCTTAAAATAATTGAACGAAAGGAAAACAATAAAAGCATCGTATAAGTGGTATTAAGAACAAACCATCAGCAGCAGTTGTAAACATTTACTAAGGAAAGAAAACCGAAAATCGTTAGAAACAGCATGAAAAATCTTTACGCTTTGCTAGATTATCGTAGAGCTGAGGAGAACCATCTTGAATTTTGATTGCTGCTGATGAATCACACTGAAGCTGTTTCGAATACTCTTCAAAAACGTCCTGGATGAGTTGAAAAAACGCAGGTTCAACGTTCGTTGCATCTAGAGCTGATGTTTCCATATATTTCATATTTCTCTCGTCTGCATATCTCTTAGCATCGTCTGTCATAACTTTTCGAGTATGTTGCTGATCACTCTTATTACCAATGAGCATTATTGTGCATGGATGAGGACCAGCATTGGCTCTAATTTCCTGATACCAGCGATCGAGATTTTCAAATGTCTCCCGACGCTGGATGTCGAAGACAAGTAAGGCACCTAAAGCATTTCGATAAAACGCTTTTGTAATAGCCATAAATCGTTCTTGTCCAGCCGTGTCCCATATTTGGACTTGAATAATATTTCCATTAATTCGTATTTCTTTCTTAGAAAATTCAACACCAATTGTGAATGCCGAGTCCAGAGTAAACTCATTTCTTGTGAAACGCGATAACAATTGACTTTTTCCTACTGCACTGTCACCCGTAAGAACCAACTTGAACAGGACTGGTTGGTGAATGACGTACGAAGCACACCGGTAATAAAAGAAGAAGATTAGTGGTTCACTGTACTTTGTGAATACTTTTCACATGTTTAAACATACCTGCGGCTTCATTATTCAATGTTCCCATTTCTTTTTGCTAGTAAATGGTGTTGACTGTTTCGTTGTTAACATAAATATACATATATTATTTATAAATTAACTGGTGGCTCTGTATATATACATATATATGCAAAATGAATCACTTGATAAAACTAATTGAAATAAATTCGGTTGATTAATGAATATCTAAGAGACCTGTAAATAAATATTCAAACTGAAGAATAAATGGCCATAGAAAGAAAAAATACATTTCTAACGAAAAAGAACAAAAGTCTAACATTTTTCATAATTTGTACATCACCTGTAAAACTATCAAAGAACAAAAATAGTGTCAAAAAAAATCTACTATAAAAGAGAAGAATGATTCAAATTTTTACAAATAAGCTGTAAAATTCCACCAGTCGAAAATAAAGAGAGAGATGCATAAGTCATTCGTCATGTGTCTGTTATGAAGAACAGTTCTAAAAACGCATATTTATTGAATAACACGGAAGAGACTACCATAACCTACACAGATGTAGAATACACTAGCAGCAAGTTTTTTAAGAGACCTCAGAACATTTACTACGGACGGATTTGTGAGAAACCTGCTTAACTCTGTAACTTTTGTCTCATTTTTCTCTTATCGGTAAACAAACTATGTTACAATGCTCAAATCATATCTAAGTATACATCGAACTTAATCGTGCACCCTCTCCTAAATGAACTTAGATTCAAAAAATTCCATCCACAGAAGTGTAGTCATATTGAGAGCACTTGCTAGCTTTCTCATCACAAAGAAACCCAGTATTGCTCAATTTCGTCATGCGGATACTTAACTTTGCACATGGATCCATTACATTTGCTATGTAGCACACTATAAGAGCATTTCAGAGAAACCTACTAGCTATTGATTGATCGGTACAATGAGTATCATTTCATGTCAGTTTTAACGATGGAGTACGGACGTCCCTCATTCACCATGGACACGTTTAGCATAGTAATATGTCTACATGCACTCATCGACGTATCTTGGCCTAGACGACTCAAAAATCCATGGTTTTTCCCATATTTTTCATTTTTCTCGGCTAGAAAGCGTTTCTATAAAAGAAAACAACTAATATGATATTTGAAATCAGCACATAAAACTGCATCTAGTAATGTGTAATTGAATTCTTTTCGCAAGAAAATTTTTTTCGACAAAATTTTAGGGCAAGGATTCCCTCAAGGATTTTTCATCGAAAAAACTTTGTTTTCGAGGTTGATTGTTTGTATCAACATGTTAAATGTAACAGAGCAATACCAAACACAAATAACTGCTTTCTGCATCTACACTTGTAATTTCATGGTTTCTCTTGCTCTTCACTTTCTCTGGCAACTATCATCAAGCCAAATAGTACCATCTGTGAATTGTCTCGAATGTGAGGATGTGCGACCTACAGACAGCTCAAATTATCTTCTACAATTCTGCGTAAGGCACACCTCTATATCTTCTATGATTTTCGAATGGTAGGCAATTTGTGGACACTGGATCTACCTCGTTACTAATGAAACATTGATTATCAACCCCTTTGTGGCGATGTATATTTCTAGAATGTTTCTTTAAATTGTAAAACTTGACCTGTATGGTGTAAATAACCATTTAAGGCTAGTTTTACGTTACGTTAGGGAAGCCGTCAACAGTCTCATCGTTCGAGATGTCAACTGGAATCGCCCAAGGGAGGTTAAAAAAGGGCAATAGATCCAAAAATGATCTATTAATTCATTTTACATTTGTCCTATCACTGGCGAATTTCGGATATAGATGAACACAGGTTAAAATTTTCTCCCATTATTTTCTTTCGCATTTCGAAAACATTCGTCCGAAAACATTTCCTTCTTCATGAAATATTAGCTCGAAAAAAAAGTTTTTCTCCATTAAAACGTGATTAATCTACATTGTTTTTCCTGGTATCTTCTCGATTCGTCCCTAATTGATTTCTCAAGTCGTCCCTCGTAAATTTTTATTCTCATTTCGTCCCTTAAAATTTTTTTCTTGATTCGTCCCTCAAATGCACGCATAGGCTAGATTATTCGGCTTTTAAATTTATTTAATAAACTTTGTAAAAAGACCAAAACTAATAATTAACAATATANTGATTAATCTACATTGTTTTTCCTGGTATCTTCTCGATTCGTCCCTAATTGATTTCTCAAGTCGTCCCTCGTAAATTTTTATTCTCAATTCGTCCCTTCTCATTTTGTCCCTTAAAATGTTTTTCTTGATTCGTCCCTCAAATGCACGCATAGGCTAAATTATTGGGCTTTTAAATTTATTTAATAAACTTTGTAAAAAGACCAACACCGATAATTAATAATATATAAACAGCTACAATTTAGAGCCATTTAGGATGCTTAAAAAAAGAAGCTCACTATCCTATACAAACTTACGGATATTCAGTAGAGGAGTACACAAAA